AAAATTATTCCTATCACTTAGTAGAATTATAGAAGTGATTTTCATTTTATCGTAAGTTTATCACTAAATTTATCGCGAACCAAGAGACGTGATAGTTTAGTAATAGGTCGGTGAAAAAGTTTCTTCGTATTTTTTTTATATAAAATTTGAGAAAAATCTCTTTAGTTTTACTGTTTGTATTTGGCTGGTCTCAATATCAATACTTATAAGACATTAAGAAAAATAAAAAGTTAAGTACACTTTCCCATCGTTTATGAAATATTTTTCCGTTCGCCAAAATACGTAAATCTCACGAAGAAATTCGAAAAAAAAATATTGTGATGTTTATGGACCTAATGCAGTGTCAGTAAGAGAAGCACAAAGTTCGTTCAAGCGTTTTTAGTTCGGGAATTTCGATTTCAAAGATGCAACTCCCTCTGGTAGCCCTCATACGGATAAAGTCAATGCCATTTTTGAAAAATACGAGCAAGATTATCATATCAGCAAAAATTGAGAGAGCAGCTTGGTTGGGAAGTATTAATGCATCCAGCATATATTTCTGACCTTGCACTCTCAGATTTTTACCTGTCTTGGTATCTTCAGGATTCATTGGGTAGTGTTAGGTTAACATCAAGAGAAGATCATTTTTTTATCATAAATCCCAATCTTTTAAGAGCAACATCATTGTGTCACTACCTTTAAGATGGCAACAAGTTATTGAACAAAATGGCACACATATTATTATAATTGAATGTAATTAAACTTTGAAAAAAATGTCTTGAATTTGTATATAAAATACGAAGAAACTTTTCCACGGTTCGATCCCCACCGGCAACTGTGAAATTGTTAGATACATTTTTTCAACAACTTCAAGTGTTGATTTTCCACATTCATACTTATCGATGAGGAAACCCCACCTGTTAAGGAAGACAAAAGTAAGCCACTAAGTACAGGAGGAGTGCGGCAGACAAATTGCTCTATAACCTTTAAAAAATAGGCATGTGATCTTTTTTGTGTGGCTTCTTAACAGTGATAGAGCCACACGGCAGCTTTTGCTGTCGCACGGATGGGCCGGCTCGAACGGGGGTGGTACCCACGACCTCACAGAATAAATATAAGCGCTTGTTGCGTGCAAGTGGCCTGAGGCCCAATTCTCCCCCCCCCCCCTGTCAACATGGTAGCAAAATTAAAGGAAACGGTGGTAGAGTTACGGGGCAGCTTTTGCCGTTGCACGCCTGGCTCCAGCCAGGTTAGTACCTCGACCTCACAGAATACCGGCGTGAAGTGGAAGCTCTACTTCCGCGTTTCGTCTGGTGAGTGCAGGTGACCGGAAGCCCAATTATCCGTAAATTTCTGCAACATCAGGGGACTTCACTCGAACCTAAACGCCGTTCACTACCATATCGAGACGATGAAGCCGGCCTTGTTCTTTCTGACCGAGACGCAGGTGTCCTCTCCGGCTGATAATTCGTATCTTTCCTACCCGGGGTACAAATCGAACACTCCTTTGTGCCTCGGGCTGGAGTTTGTGTATACGTCAGAGAGAACATCTGTTCTCGACGCATCGGCAGTCTTGAAGGTTTGGACCTGTCCATCCTTTGGATACGTATAGACAGCGACGACCATCCGCGCGTCTACGGGTGCCTCTATAGGTTACATAGCGGTAATGCCGAAACAAACCGACTCATCGATCACGTCCAAATGGCTACAGATTCCTTGCTACAACGGGTCCCATCGGCAGAGATCGTGATCCTTGGCGATTTTAACGCCCACCACGTCGAATAGCTCGGTTCACGTTTAACCGATCATGCGGGGAGATCTGTTTATGACTTTGGCTTGGCATATGGTCTGACACAACTGGTTACATCGCCTACACAGATTCCACATGTTGAGGATCATACACCTTCCCTGTTGGACCTTTTGCTGACCTCCCATCCGGACGGATATCAGGTTTCCGTCGATGCCTCTCTTGGCTCTTCGGACCATTGTCTGATCCGGATTGTGGTGCCACTCACGCTCCCCTTGCGGTTGCGTTCTGCAGGTTGCCGCCGTGATTGGCATTACAGGTCGGCGGATTGGGACGGAATGCGGTCTTTCTTTGTATCTTACCCATAGGGGTGGGTTTACTTCTCGCCGGATGATCCCAGCGCTGTTGCTGACTCTGTCACTGATGTAGTGCTACAGGGAATGGAACTATTTATTCCATCATCTGTGGTACCCATCGGAGGCAGATCTCAGCCTTGGTTTGGTCGCTCCTGTAACACTGCATTAAGCAGGAGTGTTATCAAGCATGGGCTGCGGCTTCGGTAAACACCAGCATACTTAAAAAGAAGTATAACTTCGCCTCCAGGTCCTTCAAAAGAGTTATTGCCAAGGCAAAGTCAGAGCACATAGGCAGAACTGGCGAGAAACTAGTTCGCCTTCCTTCGGGAACCAGTGCATTCTGGTCTCTCGCCAAAGCTGTCCAAGGGAATTTCTGTAAGCCATCACTACCATCTCTGCACAGGGAGGACGACTCACTGGCCCACGACACAAAGGAGAAAGCCGACCTTTTAGGTTCCTTTTTTGCGTCCAACTCGACTGTTGATGACGGGGGGAATACATCGGCGACCATCCCGCGGTGTGAGTGCTCCATACCGGATGTGCGGTTCTCACAGCGCTCGGTTTGCAGAACACTCTTCTCCCTGGACATCCACAAGTCGAGTGGGCCTGACGGAATCCCCCCAATTGTGCTGAGGACGTAAGCTCCGGAGTTGGCACCGGTTCTAACGCGTCTTTTCCGGTACTTCTACCCCCTAGGCGTTGTCCCGAAATCATGGAAGACAACTTTTTTCCACCCGATCCCTAAAAAAGGCGACCGCTCAGACCCGTCCAACTACAGGCCTATCGCCATCACCTCTTTGTTCTCCAAAATAATGGAATCCATTATTAACTGCCAGCTAATGCGGTACCTTTAGAATCACCAGCTGATTAGTGACCGCCAATACGGTTTTCGTCGGGTTCGATCAGCTGGTGATCTTCTGGTCTATATAACTCATAGATGGGCGGTGTCAGTAGAGTCCAAGGGGGCATTGGCCATTAGATTGGACATTGCGAAGACCTTCGATCGGGTTTGGTACAAAGCGCTTCTTTCGAAGCTCCGTTCCTATGCGCTTCCCGAGAAATTATGCAATTGGATCACCAGCTTTCTTGCAGATCGTAGCATCAAGGTCGTTGTAGATGGTGTATGCTCCGACTACAAGCCTATTAACGCTGGTGTTCCACAAGACTGCGTGCTATCACCAAAGCTGTTTCTTCTGCATATTGTGAGGCCTCATAATTATTATTAATAAATAATAATTAAATTCATTATAAAGATATTTAAAAATGTCTTAGAAATTATATTTTAAACAACTTAAATGCAAATAATAAGCATAAAGTTCAAATATGTTCATTTGGAATATTGAATATTATAGTATTATTAAACACATAAATTGTCTCTAAAAATCTCTAAATTTATTAAAAACCTGATTAAAATATTCAAAATGTATTAAATCATATAAATACAAGTCGATTATATTGCAATAATAAAGATAAATAACATTTGTAATATAATAGAAAAAATGGATAAAAATTTTCCAAGTTGATGAAGGTGTTCTTGTAATGTCCCCTTATAAGGTGGCGTTGCCGAAGACACATACCCAAGGTTGTACATATATATGGGGTGGTCGGCTGACCGATTGCTAGTATTAAGGTTGCACAATGACTAGTCCTATATTAGGGACTTACCATAGTAAGGTCTAACGAACCAAAGCATTAATATAGAAGGTCTCTATGATGCATAAGCATTATGATAGCAGAGTTATGACTTGAAGTCCCATATGAATAAGACATACAATAGTATGGTCTATGAAAGAAAGCAAATATGGGGAAGGTCTCAAATATGTAATAGCATTATATTGAAAGAAATGGGACTTGAAAAGGATTATTATAGTGGCGTGTAGGTTGCTTCGCAGCCTCCGAGATCGAGGTAAACTTGGACTCGCTAACCGATGTGTCCTAGACATATCATCTTAGTGTCGGTGGTAAGCGGGTTTGTTGTAGCAATACGACTTGCCCGTGGACATCGCACGCCCCTACCGTTTGAGGGCGGCGTCTTAGCGCATAGCGTTATGATACGTCGGCTATGTTCGGGTTAAAGACATTTATTTCTCTTAAAGAACACATTGTTCACTTTTTTATTTTATGTTTCGGATTAGGGTGAGTGTGTTTGGTAGTACTTTTAAGTGCAGCAAGCATACTCAACTCTATGTCTTAGTGCAATACCTATAATTTACCTATAAAGTTAAACCCCTTGAAATTTACGCCACTTGGAATTTCTACGGAGTCAACTCAAGTAATATTTAGTTAAGCAAATTTTTAAGGAGAAATTTAGCAATTATTAATTTAGCTCATTTTATAGCCAGATTTTTACAAACAGCTTAAAATTAAAATTGAAGTAATCTCTGAAATAGAACTAAATAAAATATCATACCGTTACCGTTACCGTAACAGCCTATTAGAGTCCATTGCTGAACATAGGCCTTCCTTATTGATTGCCTAACAGGGGGATAGTTTCCATAGTTCCCACGCTTGGCAAATGGGTCGGCAACGACAGTTAATTTTTATTTTTAGTCATTATTAGGAAGACGTTGATGCACATATCTCCTGATTGGTTTCGCTCTGTCGCCTGTTACGACACCCACGGGATGATATGGGGTAGTGGATATTCTTACACCGACACTAGACGGTATTTAAAAATATTACATGGAAATAATTGTTTTATATGAAGCGAGGAGGGGTAAATTTCAATACTGTGATGTATGATACTAATCTTGATCTTGCACAGCCACAACACGGCACGGTATGTTATTATAATAAAATGTTATAACTTTATAAAATAATATATTTTTCAAAGTAAAGATACAATTTAATTTTAGTTATAAGATTATTATAATTATATAAAAAATAATAGTTTCGCGTTTAATATATTTTTATTTTATTTTTATTTTATTTTATTTTATTCGGAAAACTTACAGCAATTTCTTATAATTAAATAAAAGATATAATAATATACTATTAAGCCATTTACAAGTTTCCACTTTTAGACTTAAAAATAAAAAGTATAAACAAAAGACAATTCAAAGATATATTAACTAGTTAACAATAGGTACCTTAAAGTTAAAAAGCTATGTGTATTATGAATATTTTAAGACTTAATATAAAAATTTAAGCAAAATATTCACTGGTTAAGGTACTCTTGGCCACACTCGGGGTAGTATAAAATGGATCAATATCAAAATTAAGCGAGTTTATAAATTTAGCAGTTCTAATCATGAAAGAATTACGTCTATAGTTCGTATGAGCTCTGTTTATGTAAAGAAGTTTGCGTTTCCTCTTATTTGCTAATGGAACATTTAAAGTAACATCAGATAATAATTCCGGGGAGTAAATTGAACCATTGCAAATTTTTAGATAAAAACATACGTCATTAATATTACGCCGAACAGACAAAGGAAGAAAGTGATATCGTTTGCACCTCTCTTCATAGTTCTGAGAATCTGTATGCGCTCTATAATCAAGATACTTTAGAAACCTTTTCTGGATACCCTCAATACGAGACTTATAAACCTCATATTGTGGGTTCCAGACCTGTGATGCATATTCAAGAATAGGACGTACAAATGAACAGTAGAGAATTTTTATCGTCTTTAGGCTGTTGAAGGCACAAGAACAGCGGATGACAAATCCCATGGCTTTATATGCCCTAGTTATAATGCTAGATATATGCTTGTCGTAGATAAGTTTAGAATCTTGAATTATTCCAAGATCACAAGCTTCATATACCCTAGCCAAAGAGGTACCCTTCAATTGATAGCCGCCATTGATTGTATCGCTTTTCCTTGTAAAGGACACAAAAAAACATTTAGATACATTTAAATCTAGTTTATTTATATTGCAGTATGTTTCAAATCTTTCCAAGTCTGATTGCAATAATATAGTATCATCTGTGCTAGAGATGAATTTAAGTATTTTCATATCATCAGCATATAAGAGTACTTTGGAGTACAAGAAACACTTCTCTATATCGTTCACAAAGATAATAAATAGTAGGGGGCCCAACAGAGAGCCTTGAGGTACGCCTGAAGGAACCGGTAGCCAAGTGGACATAAACCCATTAAGCACTACTGCTTGTGACCTATTTTCAATATAAGAGGAGAACCATTGCAGAAGATATCCATGTATACCTGACATTGCCAATTTTTTTAAAAGGATTTGATGATCTATTCGATCGAAACATTTACTGTAGTCAGTATAAACACAGTCAACTTGGAGTCCAATGTCCATACCTTTTGAAATGTAATTATTTGTAAGGATCAGATTAGTAACAGTTGATCTTTTTATAAGAAATCCATGTTGGGAATCGCTAAGTATAGGGGAAATAGACTTATAATATAATATAATACACTTGTTGATATACTACCTTTTCAAATACTTTAGCAAATAAACATAGTTTTGATATAGGCCGGTAATTTTCTATTTTTGTGGTGTTCCCTTTTTTATGAACAGGTGTGATGTATGCCTGCTTCCAAATTTTGGGAACAACACCTTCAGCTATCGATCGCTTAAAGAGAATGAACAGAGGCTCCGAAAGCTCTTTGCAACAATTAGCTATAAAAATAGGTGGTATAAGATCCGGCCCACCCGATTTGTTGAGATCCAATGACTCAAGTAATTTATTGATTTCAGTTTTATTAATACATAGGGTATTCAAACTAACTGAGTTCGGAATGTTTAACTCTTTAATAGTCATATGACCAGCATGAAAATTACCGTACGGAGAGGAAAATGTGGAATGAAAGTATTTTGCAAATAAGTCACTTATTTGTTGTCCATTCACAGCTGTTTCATTTTGCAGTGACATATTGCTAGGAAATGACTGATTATTCTTGTAGGATTTAACATATCTCCAAAACGACTTTGGATTGCTAGCAATGTGTTTTTCCGTTTGTGAGATAAAATTACGGTAACACTCTCTTTCAACATCCTTAGCTCTTGCACGTAGAAATGAAAAAGATTCATAATCACCTAGATTGCCATAGGTCTTGTACTTACGATGGTATTTGTTTTTATTTCGTAGTATCTTTATCAAAGGCTGACTATACCAAGGCGGGTAACGAGAGCATTTAACAGTTTTAGTCGGTATGTATAAATTTCTTAACTCATATATTTTATTATAAAATAATTTTGTCGCATTATCCAAACTGTCTACATTAAGTTGAGAGTACCAATCAAAGCCATTTAATTCAGCTCGTATCTTGTCAAACCTACCCTTAGAATAAATGTATTTGGTTTGATTTAAAACTGGTAGTTCATTGACCTTAACAGATTTTATAAGAATAGATAAAGCTTTGTGATGAACATCTTCCGGAATAAGCGGGTCGCAAGCTATTACACAGGTGTCAGAATTGCTCAACACAAGATCTAAAATCACATTATTTATATTATATACACAATTGTACTGCCGTAATCCTAAATAATTCAGGGTGTTAATAAATAAGTCATAAAGATCACTCACATAGCTAGTCGCCGTCATCTCCGAATTATCCGGGCTTGTTTCCCATTTAATAGCAGGCACATTAAAATCGCCAGCAATAAAAAATTTGTCATTGGGATGAGATAACATAATGTCCATAAGTTTGTCACAAAAATTACGTAGTTGCAAGTCAAATGAGTTACCTCTATTTTCTTTACATAAGTAGACAGTACATACGTGTATACGACATCGGTTAATACTTATGCTCACCCAAATGTCCTCAGCAGAGGATTGCCATTCAGTTACCTCAACAGAAGTTAACTCACGTTTGATCGCTATTAAGACTCCACCGCCCAATTTTTGTCCTGTTCGTAAATAATTACGATCCCGCCTCCAAACAATGTACCTGTCATCAAACAGCTCAGAACTATATATGCTATCTATTAGCCAAGTTTCAGTCAAGCATATAATATCATAATTATTTAATAGTATATTTCTACAAAAATTATCAGTTTTCGACCGAAGGCCTCTTACGTTCTGATAGTACACGTTTAAAGATATTATTTACAATAACAAAAACAATATTTTCCTAAATATTTAACTATAGTAAAGTGTGTAAAATGTCGAGGCGGTACGTTGAAACATAAACTAGTCATAAGTATACTTGTAATAAAATATGTAATTATTCGACAACAGCATATTATATCTTTAGTTAATTTCTGTAGGGTATATAAGGAATGTGTCAGAAGTGTATATATATAGGTATAATTTAAAAAATATAAAATTAATATTAATATAAACCAATTTATAGGGCGCAGTGTACCCCTTCGGAAAAGAAATGTAACTATTCCGACATAATATAGATTTTTAAATAAGCGATTAAATAGTGTTAACCGTAAAATTACATTTAAGTTATTTGTGTGATCCAAAATAGGGTATAGCAAAATTTTCAATAGAAAAAATATTCTCTGTTTGTACATTACAAGCAAGTAGTAAACTATGTAACGAGTTATCAACTCTATAGTATTGCTTGTTCGGGTAAAAATTGTTAAGCATAGGGCTAATTTACCTGCCTTGAGTTTGAGCTCATGCGGACAATAGAAAAATTGAATCATACGGACCCAACCAGTGGTTTCAAAACATTTAATAGTTTTAATATATTTTGTTGCGACTTTTTCAAATACATGACATGAACTTATATCATTTTTTGAAGGTCTCTTTCTGTCTTTATCGATATGATGGGAGATGTGGTATTTTTTCGTGCAAGGATTTTCGAGTTCTTCACCCATACGAACTGGAAATTTTTTTCTTGAGCAACAGTCTTAGTCTTATTAAGTAAAGTTTTGTTGTAGGCAGTTAGGTGATCGTTCACAAAGATACGGTTGTTGCCTTGTAGACCTATAGCAATGGTGGTGAGTGGAGACATGGACGAATATTTTCTGGCAGCAGTGACGAAGTCCTCCTTTACAAAACGATTGTTGAAACATACAATTATAGGCTTAGCGCTGTTTGGATCTCGGTTAGGCACCCTAGTGACGTAGTTAATTTGGCTCTTAGAGAGTGTGAAATCAACTTTAGAGCCAATGGAAATAACAATATCCAAAAGGTTTTCACCTTTTTTCATGGGCACTCCTTTTATTTCCGCATTATTTAATCGAGCCCACTGGTCTTTAAACTGTATTTGAATCTCAAGTTTTTCAACCTTCTGGGATAGGCAAACAACTTTCTCCTTATCACATTCGACTTCTTTAACACGTGATTCAAGGTGCACAATTTTTTTGGAGAGTTCCTGGATGACGTTTTTCGTTTGGACGTTAGATTTTTGGAGCTGCGTGAGATTATCCTTCAGGTACTTAATGTCCTCAACAATAGAATCAAGAGAATTTAGTTTATTTGCAATATCCTTGATTTCCTTCATCAATTGTGTTGGAGTTATCTCTTGGTGTTCGAGATCGATTGGGCCTGAAGGCTTAGTAGTTGAAGGCTGCGAGGGAGATTTACCTTGTCCTTGTTTACACTTTGGACACCGCCAGGTCATTTTTCGATCACCCAATTTACGGTATCCCGGTTCACTGATACCTGCGCAATGGAAGTGAAGACAACTCTTACAAAGACTGCAGTCCGCTCCATCTGCAACTTGTTCTTTGCATTTACTGCAGGTCGGCATAGTAAGCAATTCACGCAGTTTGAGAATCATTAACAACAAAACGTAATTTCAATCAATATGCACGTTCACTACTATTGTATACGTTATAGAAAGTTCAACTTTGCGAGCGTCAAGTATACGGTTGTTTTTTATTTAGAAAAATTGAGGAAATGATTAAATTGGAATAAGGTAGTGCGCACAACTGTTTCGCTCGTTGGCGTACAATGAACTTATATAAAACTAAGTAAGTAAATAATCAATATAACACTTGGAATAAAAATAGCACTTAGATTTTTGTACTTAATAAACTTGTAGCAAGAATGAATCGGGTCGGCCGGGGAAGAATCGCACTTTCTCAGAATACCATCGAAGAATAGCAGTTTCGTATGACAAGAAACGGATTAGTTAGATGGAGTTGCAATGGGATGGTCATATAGCTCAAAGAACCTACAACCGATGCGGAATACAAGTTGAATGGGGAATAAAGGTAGGAAGGTATCGGTAGACGAAGCGTAGCCCATCACTAGCTGGAGTGACGACATGGTAAGACATGCAGGATGTCAATGGATGCAGGTAGCTCAGGGCCGTGCTTTGTGACTTAATTTGGGAGAGGCCTGTATTCAACATTGGAATTGTGAGGGCTCGTAATGATGATGATGATGATGGTGGTGATGAGTGTAGAGAACCAGATACCCTTTTATCTGGAAACGAGACATTCTATATTAGTCATCAGTGGTGACAACGCATCTACAGTTTGATTCATTATCGAGGATAGATGTAGATGTCCATGAGCCATCAGCATCTACTTAGTGTTAGTAATAACTGTGTGCTGTTTTGTCACCCTTATTTTAGAAAAAAAGTCTTTAAATCAAGATATTGGCTGCAAGTATGCTGTAATAAATATGAACACGTGTACTTAACAAGGCATGTTCATTTGCTCATTTTTAAAAAAGTATGCACGAGTGTCCCGCATTAAATGAATCACGTATTTGTAAAATTTATGTAGAAATATAATATAATTTGTACCTAAAAATTGCCCATATTTCCGGAAAATGCTTCTGAAATCTTAAAGTGAAGATGTCACAGTGAAAGCACTTCCATTTATAATCATACGTAATGACCTCGTTCCGCCTCTTGGTCCTACGAACAATTGTCAACGGAACTTGGCATTTCCGTCACCTCGCAGAAGTCACTTTCTTTCTCAGTTATAAAAATGTGACAGAATGTTGTAATCTTGCTTAAATATTGCAGACGAAATATTTTCTAAGCGTTAATTGAAAGAATAAAGATAGATTTAATATGTTCAGTTATTAAAGCAATTATACAGAATTATAAATTATGTTTTACAACGTTTTGCTTTAACAAAGCGGATTATTAAACATTTTCTGTATATAATGTTGGATCTCTTTAAAAAGCTAAATCTCTTTCTCTTATCTCTAAAAAGCTTGAAACGTGGTAGAGCCATGCTGCAGCTATCACAGAATACCAGTGTAAAATAGCAGCATAACGCTGCTGCGTTTCGTATTGTGAGTGTAGAGAACCGGAGACCCTTTTTACTGGAAACGAGGCATTCCATCTTAGTCCTCACGGGTGACAACGCATCTGCATTTTGATTCGTAATCGAGGATAGATGTAGATGTCTATGGGCCACAGCAAGCATTTACCATCAGGTGGACTCGTGTGCTCGTTTGTCACCCTAATTCTATAAAATAATGTAATTTTATAATGTTAATTTAGCGTTTTAAACTTATTGATAATACATTCTCTGGTCGTGTTGTATTGACATCCCATATCACTATCCCATATTCTGCGCTTTGACCCCTTTCTGGGAGCAGTAAGTCTACGAGTTTTAATTATTCAGGCATCATCTAGGGGCCTAGGGCTCCCTCGGTTCTCATTGTTGCTTTTGCAGCTTAAAGGTACTTTACGCCATCTGTTCATTGTCGGGACTTTAACTCATCCCTCTCGCCAGGCGTTGAGCGTGACGAAACCAGAATTTCACGTGGGAGTGGCCGCCCGCCAGGTGCGCGTGTGTGAAGTGGTGCTAGGTTGTGAAGGCGTGAGTGTGGTCCGTTAACTGCGTGATATAATAATCCTCTTGCAGTGCGGATTACAAATTCTTCGATGCTTTCTATTTTCAGCCAACCTCACAAGGTGTTCTCCTTGTGAGGTTGGCAAAATGTTGCAGTTGTTCAAGGACGTCGTTCGACACTTACCATCAAGTGAGCTGCATACTTGTTGGCCCCCTCTGCTATGAAAAAAGGTTATTTTATAAAGGTTTTTTTGCTATTTATATTATAGAAAAATTTATTTTCGGGTAATATTTTCCAAAAATTAGCCGAGGTAATTAAAGGTCAGGGCTTTGTATTAAAATTTCATTGTACGTGATCAAATCGAGCATATCCCCGCTGACACTAATGTATTTGTGAATAGCAATTTTAAGTGGTAATTTAACACGTGCTATGTGGTGAAATAAAACGTCTTAAGAAAATCTTTAGAAAATGTGAAATTTGGAACACATCTTGGGGCAGATCTACGCATTTTAACGTATATAATTCATATTTTCTTATTAGTGAAATATCATACACCGTCATCAATGTCACACTCGAACGGTACAGTGCTGGTAATTTTTCGGTTAACAAAACAAACAAGCTAGCACTCAGCTAAGCTCACTGTCATGGACATTTCCGTCTATCATAATCAAAATAATAACTGAAAAAGACCACGAAAAAGATAATTATCTCGTATGTTTTACAATATGAAGCGTCGTTCCTGTCTCAGGGAAAGTGTGTAAGAGCCTTCAGACCTACCATCAGACCCATTTTAGATGCTTTGAAAATAACATTACGTAGCAGAGAAGTTAAATACTGACTATTTATAAAAATATTTCTAGTTCGCGTGTGATTTTTTAAGTGTCATTTGAAGGAAGTTTAATTAAATTCAACTAACGTCTAAATTAATTAATTTCTTATGAATGATATTTCATAGAAAATTACTTTAAATGGAATTTGAAGGATCTTCATTAAATTTACATTCCAAGCAAAGACAGAGACCCTATCCGGTAAACGTAATTTAAACTGGTTTAAAGGCACGCTCTTCCAAATTCAATTTCCCCGTTATAAACTTTATTGTAGTACTACTCCAACTAAAGCTTTTCTAAGCTTACTGCTAGACACGAACATTCTTTTATGGAGTTGAAGTGAAAAACGAACAACCAACTTTAAATAACTGATGTTAAGTGGCTACTGCAGTTTATTTAATCCTGCAAGCAACTTCAAACAAAGAAGGCTACAGTGCGTTGTCACCTCTGGGGACATAAATGTTATGTATCACAGCTTGTTATTATACTGGCTCTCTATATCATGCAGACCCGAACACAGCAGTTCACGCACTGCTCCTTACTGAAATAGGTAATAGTGCAGTAAATACTCCAGACGTAGAAGAGGAAAGGAGTACTATCTCTTAGTAAATTATATACTACAAAGATTAATACACTCATCTCTCTAAACTAGCGGGTATACACGAAAATGATACAGTTTCATTCGTAAGTATGTTCTACGTAACCAGTCTGTGAAATATTGGTTTAAAGTTTATAAATAAATATTTACTACTTAAACGGGCTTCGTCCCCGTCGGCATCAATGAAATCGTTAGTAGCAATTTTAATGCAGATTTACCTCATTTTCGGCCACGATGGAACACATTATTTGGAATCCTAGTAGTAGAAAGCATATTGGCTGTTACTTTACTACTTTATTCTCTACTTAATGCGACGGATAATAGGAAGCATATTCTGAATAGAAACGAAATCGCCCTTACACGCTATTTTACTCATTCAATTTTTTTTAATAAAATCTATCAATAATATTAGACTAGGAATAGACTAGAAATGAAATGTTTTTATATAGAATAAGGATGGCACACGAGCACTCAAGAGCAAGTGAGTAGATGCTGCTGCACATAGACGATTATTCTAATACTTATGTAATTTCATTTTTAAACGACACATCTATTACCGATTCAGAATCAAAATGCAGATGAGTTGTCAGCGCAGAGGATTAAGATGAATTGCCTCATTTCCAGTAAAAAGGGACCTTCAGTCCTCTACACTCACCATACGACACACAGCGGAATTAAGCTGCAATTTTATGCTGGTATACGGTGAAACCGTTGTCCTTTCCTAGTCAGGCCAACCCATTCGTAATACATCTAAAATATACCTGCAGTGTGGCTCTACTACGTATAGTAAATACATCGCATTCGACAAGATTATATAGATTCAAGCATGAAAAAGTTAAATATTTTGATTGAAAGTCGACATCAAAAAAGGAATTTATACGATATTTTCTTTAGTCATAATTGTAAATTTAAAGATCTATAAGGTTGCGTACAGATCAAGTAACATGTTGTATAACTTTTGTTTTATAACACGTCCACATTATGTAACATTGTTTTTTATCATTGCAACATATAACAATACTGTACACATTAGAATAACAATGCAATATAACAATGTTATATGATATTGTCGTTTATCGTTCTGTCGTTCGAGTTATATAACATTTGTGTCACGTTATATAACATTCATATTCCATATTACTAAAACATGTTATACGTTTTATAACATGTAATGTTATATAATGTGTACGCACCGTAAAGAATAAAATATTTATACATTTAAGATTTTAATTCTTTTATAGGTACATTATGTGTTAGCACCGACTTCAGTATGTGGAATTATTTTAAACATTTTGATCGTTTGAAGTCGGCTTTTGTGTTGCATTAAAAGTTAATTTTTATTATTTAAACTGTCAACAATTTACTAAAACCTTGTGAGATCGAAATCATATTCCCTTTTATGTAGGTTTCAGTTTAATTTGAAATTTCGAGCATATTCTGATAAATGCCTGTCAAAGTAATTTAAGAACAATCTGGCGGTAAAAGCGCTGACACGACTCTGTGGGCACTTCTAATATCTTTTATAAAATCCTCTTTACTTGGCTGTCTTGTTAGGAAATATGAAAATATTAAAGTTTACCGTCTTTTTTGCTGTCAGTTATTTTTTTAAATACCATGCATTAACATATTGTTAGAATATTGAATTATTAGTACTCTTTAGATAAGATATTTAAATATACTATTTTTGCAGTTTTCCTGGAGATTCGAACATAAAAAAGTGAATACAAGCCAGGGGAAGACTTAACGGGAAGGCCTATAAAAATTCGCTCAATT